AGCTCAATCGGAAGTGATGGGCTTGGCGTACCCTCTCCATCATCCTGGGAAGGCAATTCTTCTGATAGTGTCGGGGAATGATCGGGATCGGCTTGATGTTCTGCTGGTAGTTTCACATCATCCTCTTGTCTAAATATTCATATGCTAAAAAAAAAAAATCAAATTTCACCATTTAATTGTAATATTGGTAACAAACATTTAGTTTTTAAAATTTATATATTCTAGTTGTATCAGTTATACTAATTATAAGCATTCTACTTGTACCAATTATACTAGTTATACACACTCTAGTTTTACCAGTTATATTCGTTTGAGTTATACTAGTTGTACTAGTAATACTCTGCGTTCTTCATTGTCGTGAATATCATATATTGATGATAGGTTCGGTTTAAAAACATAGTAAATTGATTGAATAGGATGGTGGGTCGATGGATTTGACCAAAAATGATTAAGATTGATATATTTGAGATAAGAATGATTACTAGTTTCAATTTTTTTTTTAGTTTTAATTTTGGATGAGAAAGCATCAATGGAGAATAAAAAGAGAGTTTGGTAATTGATTAAGAGAATGATGATTGTTGATGTAGAAGATACAAACTGGGAAAGAGAATCGAGATTGTTTAGAAAAAAAAAATTGAGATGAAAAATTTGAAAAAAACTGAACCATCAATGGTTGAAAAGGGGGAAGAACAAAAAATTAGGGTTTTGGGAATAGATCCGACCCGGATCCAATCTGGGTCGAATTGTATCTGGTTGGGTTGGTAATTTAATCAACTTTTGTAAGGATAATGGTCATTTCCTTACTTTTTTCTATTTTTTTTTAAATATAAATTAATTGAAAAAGGGAGGGGTCTATTATAGATTTTTTTGAGTCCACTTGGTCTATTCCAGCATTTGATCCCCCCCCCAAAAAAAATTATCTCAATCTTTTCAAAATATATTATGTTTTACATATTTAAAAAAATTAAAAAATTTAATTTGATTTAAAACATATCTTAAAAGAAAATACTATAACATACGATACAACGGATCATACAATTTTATAAATGGAAAATTTATCTAGAAGAAATATCATTTATTTTGAAACCAATAAAACACCTAATATACATCTATTTTTCAATCTCTCTAAAGTAACATTAATCTTCAAACACCTAAACCAAACTTTGAAAAACTATGAACACAGATGTAGTCATTATATATAGTCTTACCTATATTATTAATTTATATTACAAATAAATCCTTTTAATTCACTAAATTCAGAAACAGTAAATATTTCTAGATTAAGATGTTAGATTTTTTGAGAAATTTGGCATCAGTGGCCATTAATGGACATCACGAGAAATCTCATTTTCACTTTTATATATACAAATTTCTGAGGTAATAGTTATTAGTACTAGTTGCGTGTTACTCTAATTTGAATCTCATTTCAATATTGATTACCGGGGTATATTTACTTTTGGTAGTTGGATCATATATTTATAGCAGCACATATTGATTATGTTGTTCAGCATCAATATGAACGTGTATGTATTAATACTCATAAATATTACCAAAATAATATATATATATATATATATGTACTTACAAGTTATAAGTTACTAGCCTAGTTGGATCAAGTGCAGTGTGCAGATGGATTTACATAGTTCAGTAAACGGGATCGTGGTATTGGACTTAGCGAATGAACCACTGTTTCTAAACTGAAACCAACCACCCGGTCAGATTCGTATAATTCTAATTTTAAAGAATTTATGGTTTGGTTCAAAACCACAAATTAATATATATCTTTTTTTTTTAATTAACCTGGGGTATCCTAGGTCCATGGAGAATCTCATACTAATCCCTAAGGAGAGGTGCAGCAGTCCACGGATAGACATTTTCTCTGGATATTCAAATGGGCCTTAAAGCATAGGCTCATATCCGTGTTAGGTGACCAGGATAATTGTAACTTAGTTTCGCGTAGCAGATGAATCGAACCTGAAACATGTTGGTGTCTCAACCCCGTCTCCTTATCACTCGACCACAATCACCCGATCAAATCAATATATACATGATGCATAAAAAAAATAATAAACAGTCAAGCTAGTCGGTTTAAGTTGTACTGATCTGTAAACATAGTATAACCAGTTTAACCATTTGGTCAAACAGAAACCAAGGATATTTATATAGGTCAAGAAATACAGATTGCTTAAATAAACACATACATATACAGAACTTCAATATACTCAGCTTTGCATGTGTCTGGCCTACACAAATGTTGATAACTGATACCCAAATTTCATAGTTTTGTTACTTTTTGACTTACTAACGCTAAATATTCACTTTTAATGATGACACATGAAACATCTACATAGCGAGGTACAATATTGATAGTCTACAGAAGATTTAAATTTTACTTTTTTCGTTTAATTTGAGATTTACATGTTGACACAACATAGTTTAAAAATATATCTACAATACAATCTTAAATAAAAAGCTTGACGAAAAATTTTAATATGGAAAAAGATATATATCAACTATACCATAATGAGGTTGATTGGAATGAACTGTAACTTTATATTTTTTGCTGTAGAATTATAACTGTAGATTTTCCTTCTGTAGCTGTAGATAATTTAGCTGTAAGATTTTGGCTGTAGATTTAAAAAGATTTGATCATTTACATATAAATTTCTAAAGCAAAAATAAATACTTTAGGTTTAGCCATTTCCACAGCTAAAACTAAACAAAAAGGAAAGAAAAATTTGTGACTTTAAAAAAAAAATTATAAAGCATGATTGAAAATTATTTTGCTTTAGAAAAAATTTGGACTGTAAAAAGTTTTTACATCACTTCTAAAACACTTACCAATCATCCCCAATTTGTCAAAGTTATACATATTCTGCCTCCTTGTATAACTATTTCGTGACCCATAGAGTATAATCTAGTTTCTTATACCAAAAACAAATACTATTGCCTAATTTTTGGCTGAGTTTATCAGCGGTTAAAGTTATTTTTTAGTTGTAGAACCAGATACCAGAAACTAGTGAGTTTAGTGAGTAGTCAAATTACTTGGGACCTATGTTGTTAAATCTCAAGAAAGAAAAATGTAATTTCTTGAAACGCCTGTAGAATTGAATGGGTGACTAGACAGAAACTAATAATTACAAATGTTTCACAAGGATAGATCTAATAAGCGTCCATCCAAAGTATATCATCCATAAGAAAATAGTCCTCATGACTGGAAGAAATAAACATACAAGTAAATGCTAGTATGATAATATTCGAGCATTATTTTCAAAAAAATAAATAAAAAACGAACATTAAAATGTCTGTCACACTATTTAATATCATCGCATTATTACGAATACCAAATCCCAATGCTCTCGCATTTCTTTTATCGTCAAAAGCCACACAGGTTCTCTCATTTTCTGTGAAAATGGCCCCTTCCATTTTTATTATCTAAAAGCTTTAGACATATTTATGTGTTTGGTACTCCTTCTATATTCTACTTTTTAACACTTTTTGATAAAGCATACTCTCTCTGTTCCAAAAAGATCCATATTCTAGTTTTTGCACACTTTTTAATAAAATACAATAAATTTACATAATTTTTTGTATTTATCTTTTTTCTATAATTTTAAACCAATCAAAAATCAATTAGTGCAATTAAGTTTTTTGAAATTTACAATTATTTAATAAAATATACATTGAAAATGTAAAAAATGAATCTTTTAGAAAATTTGTTTTTTCTAGAATATGTGTCTTTAAGGAACGGATGGAGTTATAAATTTGCATAGTTTTTTATATTTATCTTATTTCCATAATTTTAAACTAATAAAATATTAATTAGTGTAATTAAGTTTTTTGAAATTTACAATTAGTTAATAAAATATACATTGAAAATGTAAAAAATAGAACGTTTAAAAACAAATTTTTTTCTAGAATATGTATTTTTAAGGAACGGAATGAGTATTAGATGATATTTTATTTCTAATAGTATAAAATTTATCAACTTTTAATCTCTATGATCATTTATATTTAAAATTTAATCACAATTTATCTATATTTAGATAAATAAATAACATTAATATCTATAAATAGTACAAATTATATTTGATTAATCATTGTGTTATATTCAAAATCGCTAGGTAACATAAATAGATAGAATACCCAGCTATTCATTATGGAAATACACAAAATCATTGAAAAAACTTATTGGTAAAAAAAATAATAGTTTTTGAGGGTTAATTAGCTAGTAATGGACTCGTAGTGATAGTGTATCTTATTTGTATAAACTATAGACTAAGAAAAATAAATACGAGAAAATGAGCACTCTTATAATACCTTGTCTATTTACTTTGAGACTTTGTATAAACTACCATACCAATGGGTTCGCATTGACAAAATAAATATTGGCTGCTCTAACAAATTAATTTTTTTATGAGAAAATGATTTAAAAAAGTCTAAAAAAGGTTTTTGTCACAAAAATATAGTCTATAAAAAAAAAGATCAAAATAGACTTTATTAAAAAGTGTAAAAACACATTTATACTCTCTGGATTAACTAATCTAGACTTAAGTTTTAGAGTTATGGGTTTAGGTGTTAAGGTTTAGTCTTACGGTTTAATTTTTTTTTTAAAAGTTAAAATTTTAACAATCGAACGTTGCCACATCATTAAAGATAAAGTCCTTAAATACCTTAGTTAAAGACTCTTCCTTAGCTTATGCAAATTAAATATTATTATTTAAACTTGATTTACCTAAAAATACATACTAAGTACTCCCTCCGTTTCGAATTAATTGTCATTCTAGAGGAAAATTTTCGTTTCAAAATAAGTGTTGTTTTAGAGTTTCGAGACAAAATTTATTAATTTTATATGATTTTCTATTTTTCTATTGGTTGAAAAGTGGTTAGATGTATAGGTAATTGTATTTTTTTTTTGAAAATATGTAAAATTAAATGTTTCCTTAATCTGTGTGTAAAAACGTAGAATGACAATTAAAATGAAATGGAGGGAGTATTTGGTTAAAACAGATCTTAGTTGTTACACTTGGTTCAAAGACAAACAAGAAAATCCCAAAGCTAAGATAACCCTCCATTAATACATGCTCAAAGTAGTTAAAAAGCACAAACCCAATAATATATTGACACATCGGTAGCAGGTAAAATGGATAGGCAACGTGTCAATATATTATTGGTAACGTGGCATCATACTTAGTTAAAAGAGTTATTACATCCCCTAACTAACAACCCGAGTTACATTTTACGTCGATCGGTGGTAGAGATTATTGTAACCACGTGACGCACGTGATGGCCCATGATGACGGACGAGCGGAGACTCTTGGACGGCTCCACGGCGTTTGACCGCGGCGGAGAAAACTCCTTCCCATATTTCAGAGAAAGCGCGGATGATGATGCCGTGATGGTAAGGCTCGTTGAGTGAGAGAAAGCAGTTGAGAAGCTCTCTAAGATCGTCTTTGGAGTAAATCTCGTTCTCGAGAATCATCTGAAGCATAGACTGCCTGAAGTCAAGGTAAGGGTCGTCGGAGTCTTTCTCTACGGCTACAGCGGCGGAGGGTGTGGCGGAGGAGGAAGAGGTGTTGTCAGAGAACCAATGGGTGGTTGAGGGAATAGCGGAAGAGGAGGCGGTGGTGGTGGAGTGGCAGTGGTGGCCGTAGCTAGAAGAGAGGCGATGCTTTTTGGGGAAAGGGTTGAAAAAAGATGACAAGTTTGGGAACTTACAGTTGCCGCATCCGATGTCTACGACAGATACTGTCTTAAGGACCATCTTCTTCTTCTTGTTCTTGACCGCCATTGTTGTCTCTTGTGTGACTCTCTCTGACTGTCACAGTCTCACTGCAAAGATAAAATAGATTTGAGAGAGAGAGGGGGAGAAAGTCTACTTGGGATTGGTATTAAAGAATGCATGTGGGGACTGTGATGGATTAATGAGAAGTAAGTAACCAATTTGATACTATTTCTTTTGAAACTGTACGAACGTTTTTTAACATTATTATATGTCCATATATGCATGACAGCATGCCTACATAATTATATGTCCATATATGCATGACAGCATGCCTGCATAATTCGACATTGACTGACTCTGTAAAAGAAGATTAGATTAATTGAGTTAACTTACTGTTATGATATCAAACATTTGATAATTTATATTACGTCTCTCAAAACAAAAGTTCAATTATGAACCATGTACGTTTTAAAGTAAAATGGGCCATGGATAAGCCGTGTGAGCGGTTAAGGGTAGATTATTATTCATCTATCTTTAATCAGTATCTTATAAATGTTATGGTCCATAGAATAATGGTAACGTAACTAGAGTATTCATATATTCATCTAAAAGCTGAGGATTAATATGTCTTTCAGTTCGAGATCAACTTTGAAAAAGATAATGTTGGATGTATCATATATTATTTCAACTTGTTTCTTATTTTGGATGAAAAATGTAAAAACATAGAAACAGAAAATTCATCAACAAGCATCCTAAAAAGATTGATTTTGAAATATTTAAATAAACATCCTATTCAGCATTAAGTAACAAAAACAAAGCAAATATTTAGGCACAAATATCCAACAAAGGTTAGGTTAATTTCATTTAGTAAAAATCCTTAGGAAAAAAGAAAAAAAGGTATTTTGGATTATATAAGGATATTTTAGATTTTTTTTAAAAAATTGACCATTCACGGACCGCCACGTGAGCAGTGGAGAATAGTTTAAGGATCAATCCTTAAATAAGGATTTTAATGATAGAATCATTAACTGTTCATGTGATCTATTGATTATAAAATTAATATTTCTTTAAGGATTCTCCTTAAGGATCTGTGGTTACGGGTGTTCTAAACGAAGTTGGTTTTTGTAGTTTAGATTTAAAATATCATCTCCGCAATAATTGTTTTAATAGACTTATATAAGGCCTTCATGAGCTTTACCTGTAATGAGCCATATATTTGATAGTCAGACCGATTCAAGCCCAAAGCCCGTAGCTCTTACATCCGTTATCGTTTCAGTTTATAGGTATTTAGCAATTAGGATCTCTCTTTTTGCTTTTTGTCTAGTTCTCCACAGATTTCTTTGATTAAGTATATATTTTGTTGATTTGATATTCGTTGATCAGTCTACGTATGTTTGATTGGCATTTGGTTTCGGAACATCTGGAGAGTGCTTGGCGATTCCTCAACGACATCCAAAATGTTTTAACCTAAATGGTCGGAAATATATACTATAGTCTATATCCAATTAAGTGCACACTTAATCTAATGGTGCAAAAAATATCTTGATACAGTATACTTCTGTTTTAGACTAATTTTGTTTTAGATTTTAAAAATTATTTAATATTAATGTCATTAAATTTAGTGCATATTTTTTATAAAAAAATCAATTTAAACCTCATTTTATAATATTACTAATTATTATCATTTAAAAATTTCAAAGCATAAAATAGAGGCAAACAAAAAAAATATTTCTTTTTTTTTGTAAAATTCTTAAACAACACTAATTATTAAACCACGCTAATTATAATATGAATAAAGTATATTTTGGTATTGGATTGGTCATAAATTGTAATCATTGCTGTAATGCAGTAAAAATCATCTGTAGTGATTTGTTAAAATTCTATTGTCATGGTTAAAGATTTGTCACATTCTTACTGAAATTTAGTTTTTATGATTTGATTTATAAAATTCATTGTTATTGAACAAATTATTTTTAATCAGTATATGTTCCATCAAATCTAGTGTTTGAGACTTGAACTCTAGACAGTTTACACATAAAATAAAACAATAAAAATCTTGCATATATCATCTATATTTTTAAAATCATTATATCAGACTACTTTCACAAGCTTTTAAAATATGACTTTTAAAAAAAACTTCATAGAATTTAGTAGATCTCTCCTCTTAGAACCAAAAAATTAAATAAATTCTACTCCTAATAACCTCATGTTATGTATTTATTTATAAATTTATATGAATCTTTGGGCAACAGCCGAAGCTTCGAGCACTGTAAATTACGAGAATAACCTTTAAACAAATATCGGACATAACGGTCCAACGGTAAACCCGTTCCTCGTACCCCCAAAATTCGAGTAGCGTATATGGCAAGAAATTACAAACCGTTTACTTTTTTCACTTTGATTTGTTCAAAACGAATTTAGAAACAATCAAACCACGATTTCTTCCAATTATAGAAATCACGCGTCTTCATAAGCATCTCGTATATATAAAAGCATAATTTGATCTCATTTGCAGTTTCGATCCTTCAGGGTTCCTCTAGCGAAAAAAGAAGTCCAAGAATTCATACGAGGACGAGATCTTCCTAACGTCCTTGATCTTCTTCAACAGGTTCTTTAGCAATTTTTTTTATCTCCTAAAATAAATCATCCATCTGGTTTATATAAGAATGCTGAAATGTTTATGTTACGTTTGCGATGAAACATAAACAGGATATAATTCTGATTAGGTCGAAGATGTTGGGAGATTTCATCATCAGGCTCCTTGTGTATGTTCTGCTCTGCTGTATCTTGTTCTTTGTTATCCATTTCGTTCATCATATGTTGTTGTTTTAAATAGGTTAATGTATGTATGTATCTTATTATAAAAGTGGTGTTGATTGCAGATTGATATTAGGGTACACATACCCAGCTTTTGAATGCTACAAAACTGTGGAGAAGAACAAAGTTGATATCGAGGAACTCAGATTCTGGTGTCAATATTGGTATTTACAAATCTCTCATCCTTTAACATTCATATAATTGATTTTATGTCAACCCTTGAAAAAAAAATCTAAGCTTGGTGCTGTTTGATATAAAATATCTTTAAGTTACTTTCAAAGAAATGTCTTTGATTTCGAGCATATATATATATATATATATATTTTGTACAATTTTATTAGGATATATGATTGAGAACTCAAAGTATGTGATGCACGTTTAAATGTTTGATTTAATATGATACTATCACTATCTACTGTAAATAAAAAATATATTTATCAAACATTTTCTGTTTAATAATAGGATATTGTTGGCGCTAATTTCATCGTTCGAGAGGTTTGGCGATTTTTTTATCTCATGGTAAGAAAGATTTTATTCACCCCCCTAATTCATCTGTTTCTTTATCGTCTAAAATTTATTAAATAATTAGCATTATGCAATTATTATTCAAGGTTACCGTTGTATGGAGAAATGAAAGTGGTCTTCTTCGTATATCTCTGGTACCCTAAAACGAAGGGAACGAGACTTGTGTACGAGACATTGTTGAAGCCAGTCATAGCTCAACATGAGACAGAGATTGATAGAAAGATTATGGAGTTGCGAGCTAGAGCTTGGGATTTTTTCATCTTCTACTTCCAGAACTTTGCCCAGGTCGGCCTATCTAATTTATGTTATATTTTAAAATGGCTTTAATTATATAACATTAACGATGACAAATTAATATCTATGCACAGGCTGGTCAGTCCAGTTTGGTCCAGGCTTTTCAGTACGTACTTGCCCAATCGGTAAGGTTCTCTGCCGCTGCCGCAGCTAACCAACCGGTAAATAACACATCACCTTTAAATATATTACACTTGCATATATCTAGATTCAAGTTTTATACTCTTTGACCCTTTTGTGTACGTGGTGAAGCCAACGGAGCCTAACGTAAACGTGAAAACGAGGTCACCGGTGGAGACAGAAAGTGATACGAATCCCGCTCCAAGACCGTTGAACAAATCACTATCTGCGTTGCGATCGCTAGAGAAGCAAACGAGCAGGGGGAGGAAGTGGCCACCACCGACACCACCACCAACACCAGGCCGGGACTCAGCAGAAACATTCAACGGAGAAGATGGAGTCATCATTCCCGATACATTGCCGGGATCACCCATCACCGATGCTCGAACTAAGCTTCGCCGTTCCAACTCCAGGTCTCAGGCCGCATCATAGTAACGTATATAAACGTGGCTCTTGATAAACCCTTTCCAATTTGTTAAGAGATACTATATAGGGAGAGAAAAGTGAAAGCTTTTGAGATGTTTGAGAAGACAAAACAGATTGAATTTTTTTTATGTTCTTGTGTTTTGTAAATTTAAGCGGATGTTTTAATACATGGATGATATTTGTGTGCATGCTTTCACTCAAATGTTACCATAAGTAGCTGATCATAATTATGCATTTGAAATGGTCAAAAAATGTATACTCAGCTAGTGCACAAATGCAGCCGATTAAGTATATATATCTCTCTCTAGAACTTAACATTAGTTTCTCTTAACAAGTACTCCTCTACATTGTCACTCCTTACAACAACTCTCTAGAGATCAATGAGATCATAATTTAATGGTACATTGTATGGTACGCACCTGCCATTGGTTCTTATGTATTTGCTCCTTCTTTGGCTTTGATTTGGGAGCTAATAGTGTTGTTGTGATGCGTGTTTCCCCTTCTTGCATCATCTTGGGGTTGAGTCAATACTGGTTGGGACTATCTCACCCATTACTGGTGGTGGAGTACTCACATCAGCTATTTCATAATCCCAATCGATACCAGCTTTAGCATGAGTTAAGGATTTGCATATATTACATTGCACAGAGCTATAAGAGAGAAACAAGTTTTGATATATCAAAGGATACAGTCTGTTTTCCAAATATCCGTCATGCTAATTTCCGCATTGGAGAGAAGCCAGTAGTCTGTATCATCATTCTGCAAAACATAAGACCACATTAAAAGGTAAAGCTTCATATAGTGTTTGCGAGAATCTTAAGATAAGCAGGAGGATGGCTTACTTCGATTTCTGAGGGAGTAATCTTAAGCATTCCTCCTACTTGCTCTTGCAAATGATTAAGATCAGAGGTATCGCCGGGTTGAGCATGTGCATGATCTTGAGAGACATGATGTTCAATGGCAGTTCCCTTATTGTCAACAGTTAAGGCTTGTATGTCATGGTTTTCTGAAGATCCCGAGCAAGAAGCAATAGGCAAGCATGCTGGCGGTGGTGTCGCTGTCCCATTTGTGTCTTCAAACTTCTTGTCAAATTCACTGAACATGATGTCAAAGTAAAAGACATGTAAGCGGAAAAGTGCCTTCCAAGATGTTATGACATTTCTTCTATCATTCAATTAATGTTGATATAAAAAAACAGAAGGAAGATATACCTGACAAGGTATACGTCAATAGGTCCCATTGTACTTCTAAGAATGATCCTGTATCTCCTTTGAGAGATGTCAACCGCCTGTCATGTAAATGAGAAACGTACTATCATTAAAATTTTTGCACCTAACGATGAATAGCGGATGTCTTCCAGAGTTGCTGACAGGGACTAACCTCATCTGGATCAGGGACTTCCAAAGTTGTGCCATGAGGAGCTTTGACAGCTATTAGAGTCTGATTCTGCGGGAGAATGAACATGAGAGTTAAGATATAAGTGAAGGAGAAATTATTAAGATCAACATTGATATACATTCAATCAACTGACAAATTCATAAATGAAACAGGAAAGACAGACCTGGAAACCCGGTAAAGTCTTGATGTCCTCTTCAGTTACAAAAAGCCATCTGGACATTGGTAATAGATTGGTTAAGTGTCCATTATAAGAATAGCACCATCTCACTGCAAGAAAAAAAAAAAGACTAGCCTAAAAACCATAGATAGGGGAAGATTTATACTTTTGATTCTTTTCATTTTCGCTCAGATCTCTTAATCTTTCCTCCGTTTCTCTGAAAAATGTTACTAAACGTCAGCATTGGTGAGTACATGAATCACAAGATTCACAAGATCCCAACACTCTCAACATGAATGCTATGAAACCTGATTTGGTTATCTAGCTCTTGCTCCTCGAGGGAAAGGTTTTCAATTTCTGCCTGCAAGGAGAAAACAAGATCATTGATAATTCAAAATCAGAGTCCGAGTACATGCTATTTCACAATTTACAAGCACAATGATTTTATTACCTGTACGACAGATACGTCAGCATCCACATCGCCAGACCCTGATGTATCAACTCCCCTGGTCAAGTTTATTGATCCACAAGTGAGTATACAAGTACTTATGTGGCTCAAGGAGTATCCCAAAGATGAAGATATGAAGAAAGATATGGTTTGAACTGCATTAAGCATATTATATCATAAAAATCCTCACTTCCAAAGTATCCGGTTCTTGAAAGGCTTTTCAATGAGATCAATCCCCTCCAAAACGTTTGTAATATCATAAATACGTCGTTTCTGCACCTCCAGTGTCTCTGCAGCTTTGTTTAGGTCCAGCATTCCATCTTTCTCTTGTTTGATTAGATTGACAAACTTCTTTGTAAGAAGACCTGAAGAGCTTTATGTCAGCATCTTCAAATCCACCACAACATGTATTAAACGGTTGTTAATTACCTAAAGAACTGTCATAGCGACAACTTCCAGGAGAAGCTAATGTGGCAGGAGAACCTACAACATTATCAGAAAAAAAACAATCAGCTTCTTGCTCTACGCATGAAAGATGATTCAAACAAGTATCTAATCATAGAGCAAGCTAAAAGTATGAGAGCTTCTTTCTTTCTCACCAGCATTTGAGATAGGTGTTTGGGGAATTGACTGGTTTCCTTTGGCCTTTCTGCCTCCTTTAGCTGAAACAGGGGTCTTACATGGACTGTTGGATAATGTAGTGAAACCAGAACTGGTGAATCCATTACTATTAGATGGAGCAGTCACCACATCCGTTGTGGTCTTCCTCTTCCGTGACTGCAAGATGATTCTACTTTGTTATTAACTTGAAAGAAGTTGGTCCATCTCCACGAAACAAGCAGAGAGATATCTACCAAAAGGTTTTCAAGGCATCTACACATACAATTCTCTATACTATAATACAACAACTACAAAATTTCACGCCAGTGGGATGTACTTGAACAGGGCTATACATGCCAAGCTTCATGAAACATCACTTTGATACTGACTAGCCTATGCTAACTATGTGAATATTTATATAGGATACATATATGTGACTCAAAGGAAGAGATGAGCATCTCCAACGCACATCTATTTTTAGATGAAGTGTAGGTGGATTTGACTCCAATGTGTTCCTCTAAAATAGAGGAATGGTATGTTTTCAGCTATTTATAAAAGAATGCTGTAGAACAGATATCATACAAAAGGTTATCAAAGCATCAATACATTGAATTCTCAACATTACTTTGATAGTAACACTACGTGAGAGAGTACTTATATAAGATATATAGATGAGACTCAAAGAGAGAGACGACGAAACGATGGATATAAGGAGAGTAGATGAGTGTTAGACGTAACAGCATTGTGAAAATTCACTGATTAGTTAAGAAGGAGAGCATCAATTTGAGTCCAATTTCACATCCAATTAGATTTGTGCGCCTATAGTGAAGCTAAGATTATGACGAAAATCGACATGAATCGACGATAATCGTTTGTTAGAGAGAGAAGGATCACATAACATCCACGAATTTCTAAAACCGATTTGCAATTTGTGAATCCAAGATCGAAATCACTCGAGAATCGAGGCTAACTCACGGGAGATCTATAAACCACGACGTCATCGTCCCGATCTACGGCCTCGCTGAGGTTAACTAAGCTTCTATCGTCGTTAGTGAGGTGCGAAGGGGTGAATCGGTGGTAATCCGAGGAATTAAACGGCGGTTTCGTTGAGGCGAACGCTAAGTGTCGACGTATTGGTGGTACTACGGGGATAGATGACGACGGAGACGGAGATGTCGGCGGATGTTGCGGTGGCGGCGGCTGAGATGGTCCCGGAGAAGATCCTGCGCCGCCGGACATGGATCGTGGTGAAGCGGAGTTCGATTGGAAGATCTCGGCGGCGATAAGAGGGACGTAAGGGGGGAGAGAGAAGGGAAGCGAGGGTTTTAGTGAGAGAGAGAGAGAGGTGAAGGAAGAAGAAGAAGAAAAAAAGTTAGAGAGAGCAGAAAACGAGGGAATTTTATGTTGGGATAGATGTGGAGGGAAGAAGCAGAGGCCTACACCGAGAATTATTTTTGTTTCTATTTGTGCCCCTGTAGTTTTATATTGTTTTTAGATTGACCCCACTTATTTTCTTCTTTGTAACGGGATTATTGATATTATTATTTTTTTTTTTGGTTTTAAGGGTGAAGCTGATATGATGATGATCTAAGAACTTTGTTTTTGAATCCAAAGGATTATTCAAAGGTAGTCGGTAAACAGATTTCTGCAAGAGATTGATTGAGATAGGGTTTGTGTTCTTATTATACATGTGCTGCTGTTTCCGTTAGAGCGTATATATATTAATATATTTATATAAAATACAACCTCCCACTGGTTTTTGAAATTTTTAAAAATCATTGATTAGTGGTTGTTGTTGTGTTTGGCAGCGGAAACTGGCTACAGAAGCGTAGTACAGAAGTGTTGATTATTTTGTTACTTGAAAAGAATATCATAATCCGATCTTTCCCAATTCATTGTGAAGGACTGAGAAGAGATATCATTACAATTCCACTTATAGGAGTGTGTTAGGTACCTTTTTGATTTCGTGTTTCTTGTCACAGGCATTAGTTAGTTAAAAGCCCATTTGAGCCAATATCATGTTTACGGTCAATGTTAAAGCCCACACTCGGAGTATTACCAAATGGCCCGACAAAAAGATGAAAAAATGCAAAACAGAGATTCAGATTATAGACCAGTGGCAAAGATTTAAGGACTTTACAAAGCTCTAGATCATCAAGATTTAAACCCAATTGTCCGGTTAATCATCAGTACATAATCATACCCTCCTGCCTCCAATTCAAGAACTCTAAATGGATACAACTCTACAACCACTTGGCTGAACATTTCATTTCATTTCATTCCACTGAGCAACCAATACCATTCCACATTGTAAATGAACATTCTTTCTCCTATCAATAAACTATCTTCCTTTCTCTCTCAAAATGTAGGCAGAGACCACTGGTTTCTTCATTCTTTTGAGTTCTTCAGAATCATTCAATACAAAATGTACCTAAAATAAAAGCAAAACCCATCAATTAAATAGAGTTTCTCCTGACCATTGCATACAAAAACAGAACAAAGAGACTCTCTCACCACTTAGCTCTCCCACATTCCATTTGTCCTAGCAAAAACTCTATAAAATCAAGAATCTTTCTGTACACAAGAAGAAAGCCGAGAGGTCTTCAGTGGCGGAGAAGAATCACAACATACCTCCAACGCATCCCGAAACCCATCCTCCTTGGTCTTCAACAAAACCGCCAACGGCAACCTCACCCCTCTCCCCACACACGCCACGTGTCTCGGTTTAATCCGGTTCTCTAAACTAAAAGAAAAATACTGAGGAAACTCAAGAACCTCCCTCACATCCCTCCCCATCTCCCCCACCAAATACTCCACCTTCGGCTCATAATTCCCACCGATACTATAATTAAACAGCTGCGGGAACCTCTTGAACATCGCGGCGGCGCTCCGCCGCGAGAACCCCAATCCCTCAAAGTAATCGATCCGCGGGAGGAGCTTCCCTTCGACGCTGCAGGAGAGGAGGTAAGTGTGCTTCCGCGGCTCGAGGATTCCGATTCTCTGGAGGAAGTAGAGAGTGGGCCTTAGCTGGTGGTCGACGCTGCAGGCGAGGAGACGGGGACGGCGGCGGAGGGCTTGGCGGAGGTCGAAGGTGGAGGAGACTCCGACTTCGCGGAGGAGGAAGGTGATGACGGGGATGGTGTGGGAGGCGAGAGGGGAAGTGAGAAGCTCCGGGCACATGGAGACGAGGCGGCGGAGGTCCGGTAAGGTGAAGTTGATGGGCGGGGTTGTCATGTAGTCGACGACGGATTTGAGGGAGGAGATGGGGGAGGAGAGGAGGGGAGGGTGGCGGTTGAGGAGGGTGAGGAAGTCGATGCCGAGGGTGTCGAGGTAGAGGAGCTTCTCGTGGAGGTCGGATTCTAGGGTTCCGGTGGTGGTGATGGTGGGAGGTGGAGATTTGGGAGGTGGGAAGAAGATTGATGATGATGAGGGAGAAGGAGAGGTTGATGGTTTGAAGGAAAGTGAAGGGAAGTTACGGAGGCGAGAAAAAGGAGGAAAGTGGTGGTGGGGAGGGAGAGGGGAGGAGAGGAAAGAGAGAGCTTCTTGTTGCATTGTTCTAAAGACATCACTCTCTTACGACATGAGTTCTTTTCTCTTTCTCTTGTTTTTGTCTGGAACAGAAGACGATGGAAGAGGATAAGAAGGGGATGATGAAGAAAACTGTGATTTGAAGATGGGGATTTTGTTTTGGAGAGATCATATCTGAATTGGTTCGGTTTAGTTTAGAGATTGACCGGTTTATTCCAATTGAAATTAGATAAGATATGAGAATGTTTCTGTTTGGGCTTTTCTAGGCCCACTGGACTTTTTCTACGGGGAATTTGGAAGTAGAGCAAGACTTTGTTATTCAAGTTTGGCTGCGGATTAAAAATTAGTGTGGCCTAAAGCAAAGTGCTTGTTATGCCTAATAATAATGTCTCTCTATCTATGAGAAATTCTCGAATAAAAATACTAATAGTTTAATATAATTTGATATATATATATATAATTTTATTTTAATTTTGAAATGAGAGTTTGATCAATTTAAAAATGGCAAATTTAGATGAAAGTTTCATAGGTTTTTTGAAGTTTATCATTTGAAAAATTATTTCACTCTTTTTATTTTCTATTAGTTTTATAATGATGAGAAACTCTTGTGAGAACTTCCCGTTTTTCTAATGGTAATAACTAATTTTCCAAATCAATATCTATTTTTTTTTTTTTTTGGTACTTATTTAAAATACAAGAAGAATATTTTGGAGGGGCAGATCTTAATCTCTTCAGCAAAATTTCGTTGTTAAATAAAAAAATGGTTGAATGATTAGAGTTCAAATATGACATAAGAATAACACATGAATCAATCTTAATGGCCAATGGGAAAAATGAGACTCAAGGAACAGTAGACTAATGTAGGAAAAAATCTATTTCGAGTCGCCTTCAGATGTGGGAGAGTCTGTGATATCGTCCCATACCATTTTGGACACAAAGTCATCGTGCTCAGGAACATACTCCTGTAACCACAAACATGAACTCAACTAGTTTAATCATTTCGTATTTTAATATACACGCAAGTAATCTATATAAGAAGAGAATAATTGGAAAATAATTAAAATAAAACATAAATAAATAAACCTCAAGAAGTTGGAGCAACTGAGAAGCGGTCGGGGCGGAGACGATGATACGGCGGGACGTGGAGGAGACAAAGCCTTCGTCCACTGCCTTGTCTATAAACGTTAATAGAGAATCGTAGAATCCATCCACATTTAATAGTCCCACCTGCATTTTTTAACTTCACATTATGTGTATATCTAATGTATAATATTTAAAGTTTTCGCTTTCTTGTACATTTTATAAAGGTTTTTTCGTGTATGAATATTTTTACATTTTTATCAATATTTATATCCATTTGTGTTTAGTACGTAAAATATGATTTTGGGGCACTCTTGAGTTGAAACATTATTTATATGGTTTTTTTTTGTCAACTGTTCATATGTTTAAACTAAATTTTGGTTGGTAAAAAATCATTTGGTTACTGTTCCATGTGACATATGACTTCAAAACATATGCTTAGATTCTCTTTCCACACATGACACATTTTTAGCCAATTAAGAAAAACTTGGTTTCTTGTACATAAGGAAAATTTCTACTTGTCTGTTCATAAATACCAAACATCTCTAATTTCTTTAGCTATGTTTTGTCGGATACCGGACTTACCGGCCCGAATCACAGGGGTTGTACTTATAATGTCATATCTAAATGATGCTACTTTTGGATTAATTACCGGTTTAGTGTGGATCCCAAGTTGAGACCAGGTGATGACTTCCAACAACTCTTCAAATGTCCCATATCCACCTATATTTTGGTTGTCAAATAACACCACATATTTATTAACCTTTCATGATTGTAGATAGTTATACATATCATTTATCAGTACATAATTTTTACAAGAAAAAGAAAAGAAAAAAGCTAAACCTGGAAGTGCAATGAAGGCATCCGCCTGGCGACCCATTTCAGCCTTTCTTTGGTGCATAGTCGATACCGTTATAACCTCTCCAATTGATTCACCGGTGATCTATAAACCCAATTTTATCAGAGCCATCATACTCATGTTTCAATGCACATATATTTTTTTCCTGAAAGCTATTTGACCAACATAAAAGAAACTACATATATTTTGTTTTTCAAAGCTCGATAATGTACAAGTAAATTTGTAAATACCTCTCTTGGTGCTAAAGACTTCGGAATGATTCTGCATAAGAAACAAACATACAATGTCAATATAATAAAATATCAAAACATTAATTTTGGTTAGTCACCTCTCTTAGCAATGGTCAGAGATTCCTAACTTTTGTTGATATTCCTTTCGGTTTAAAGTTCACACTTCTTTGAATTTTTTTATTTTTTTTTACTTCCTTGAAACATTAAAGTTCAATTTGATAATATGTATTCATAGAACTAAAGATACCTGCCTTTCCCCCTTTGGACTTAGATTTTGCCTAAAGTTAGACAATATAATAAAACCAGAGCATTGTTTTCAAACATGTTCCACAAAATTATAAGAATTTATCTTGGAGCAGTCGAAATGCTATTTATGATAATGTTACCCATCTGAAAGACAGGACAAGAACATGGGAAGACAACAAAAAAAATGATGTACTGTCGCGTTGAATGTGTAGATAAATCAAAACCTCTAATCTTTATTTTTAATTGGCATTAAAAATGTATAAAAAGACAGAGATAGATACCCAAGAACATGACGACCACCATCATGAACAGCCTGAGATATGAGACCCATTAGCCCCACGCTTCCTCCTCCATACACCAAATCGATATTTCTCTCCACCTTTCATATTTACGTTAACATCTGTGTTATTACATATTAATGGCTAAAGAAAGTACAATTTATTATGAACTTTTAGAACAGTCTATCTAGCTGAATTGACTAATTCTAATTTCTATCTTTTTAATATAACACTAAGAATGGTAGAGTTTTTCTTTTAATTTGAAAAGAGAGAACGGTAGAGTTTTGCTAACTAAGGAAGTATATTTCAACTTTAATACGATGATACAAGAATGATATGATACTAAATTTCGCATACACATATTACTCAATTTACAGTCAACATAACGTATGAGCTGTATAATTAGAACTCGTATATCTATGAAGTTTTTTTCTTTTTTTTTCCTTTTTAGCTATTGCAAAAATAGACAACAGACTTAGGCACTTAGCATTCAAAGAATAGAGTGGAAACCGAAATTTGTTATCATAATACAATTCTCAATTAGTTTGTTAATTAAGAAAACAGAAAAGTTTTACGAAAAAAAAAAACTTTAAAGTTTAGGATGTAAATAAACGTGGAGGTTAGAGACTTACCAGTTGGTGGGCTAGTTGGAGAGCAGCGTCGTGATACGTGGTTTTGTTGCCGGAACTACTTCCACAGAAGACACAGATCCTCTTGAATCTTGATTTTGTCTCTTCCATTTTTGCTCTATCTTTCTGTCCTTTTCTGTCTTGATCTTTTTTTGTTTGTCACTTTGTCAACCTTTTATTTATAAGATATGTGAAGAAGAAGTATACAGATTTGTTTAGCTAAGGACCCAGGTAGGCTGGCTATATATACATTTAAATGTGTTAGACTGAGTTTATGTTATTATTGGATCCTGTAGATTGTGACAGCTCTTTTTCTTTTTCTTTTACAATAGTTTTTGTTGTTGTTGAAATATTAGATTTAGTAATTAACAAAAGAAAAGAAACTCACATAAAAGAGCTCAGAAGCAATTACACATTTTTTTTGTAAAAAAACAATTACTCATATTTCACCAATTAAAACCTGCTTTACAAAAGTAAAACCTAAACCAAACCCATAAAATAGAATTATCATACCTCCAAGATTGGATTAACTGCAACATTCAACAAATTTTGAGTCGGTTGTGAACTTTTACTAGAAATTGCACAATTTTGTTGTGAGAATATAAACATAATATCAACAATTGACAAAAAAAACACAACAACAACAACAATTACGTGATAGATTAAGAAACTTTTATGAGATTTTAGCTGTGAGTATAAGAAATCATTCTAATTAGTGAACATATTTTGTTTTTCTTAGTTTTTAAGATAATTGATATGTTCTATGTTACATTTATACGAGATTTTAATTTGAATTCTACATCATTATTTAATTATTTATTTTGAAAACTACACTATTGTATATATAAATTGACTAAATTATCCATTCTGGATATTTTAAATTGTAAAATAATTGTTTCACTATATTTATTTAAATACTATAACTAACAACTTCGAAGAATTTTTGTTTCTTTTCAAAAACATAATACTAAATCTACACAATATATTTTTAATAGATATTATAATTTCTTTTGAATCAAACAAAATAAGCGTCTTCGTGCTCGTCGTATATTCTTCCTATTTATTTCTTTTAGTTCTTCATGTTTGTGAAACATCTCTGTTTTTTGTATAGTATCTTCCTTTGGTTTTCCATTTTTATGTTATATATTTTTCTCTTTTTCTAGTTCTCTATTTTATGCATATTTGTTACTCTAACTGCATTTTTGAAATATTAATTTTGGGAGTGATATCCTGACGCAATCGCAGATGCAAGAAAGACAGTAGATCCACTTAAATCTGAGTTTCAAGGATTCAGAAAGATATGAATAATCACCAAAAACCAGAAACTGACACTGAAAAACGACCTGAACATGGAACATAGTACTATTCTTTCAATATTTGAAAGTACAAATACATTCTCCATATGTATGATTTATCTCATACATCACAACATCCAAGTATGCAAATATGATATCAGTTTGTTTTTTTTTTTTTTTTGAAAAAATGATATCAGTTTGTTCATGTGTTTATAGTAAGTTCTACGTAAATATGTTGGAAAACATCACACCCATTAACAGTTGGTATTGTATTTCAGAAGAAGAAAGAAAAACACAAACAGCCAGTCTTCATGAACGCCACAAGAACATCGATCGTGACAAAGGTATAGCAAAAAATAAAGTTAATAAAATATTGACCTAAAATATAATGCTAAAAAGGTCGTACGTACGGCGTATGATAAATTGAATGGTTGCTTGACATAATTGTGTATTATTTCAGAATTCATCAATTTGTTACTTTAAATCATTGACATGTATTTATCCCAACCATATAATTTTTTCAAACGTAAATAATTTTGAATGTAACTTTATTTTAATGTTTAGGTTTATAGTAAACGAGGATACAAATGTCTTTTAAAATATAAGAAAGTGTAATTTTCAAAAATAAAAAAATAAGGGTGTATTTTTCCAAATTCAAATCACAAATAAGATATTTACATTTAAAATAACTACTGCATTGAAAAATTATATAACGTCAGCCACAAATACATGAAAATAAATAAATAAAAATAGGTTGGACAAAATTCATAGACAAATATATATATATACTATTAAGCTTATGATTTATTCAAGTATTATATTATTAAATTCTCATTATGCATATGCAATTTTATCAGTTTCTTGTTCAGGATAATATGAAATTAATATCATACTAAATAAATTTGTTTCCAAAAATATATTAGTTAAATTTATTTCCAAATAATTTTAAATCACTGATGTCCACTTTTTTTTTTAAATAAAAAATTAGATATAAATTATTTTCATGTAAATAAATTATTAAAATAGTAAAATAATTTGTGATTAAACGAAAGTTATAAACCAGCTACAAAAAGAATGAGTTCATATATATATATATATATTCGTTGTTGACGGCGTTAACTTATTAAGTTACCATTTAAGCTACGTAAATCGACATAATTTCAGCTATAAACTATTTTTATCAAGATTTTACTGGTTTATAAGCTAGACTGCGTCTCCCATACAACATACTCAACATGATGTGTCTCTGATGACAACATACCGAGTGTTAATAACATTTCACTGACCCACATTTTCTTAATTTTTTACACGTGTTAATTCATCTTTATTGTTTTTATTTAAATATACATTTTTCAACGTTGACTTTAACACCCAAAAGAAACTATATGTTTAATTCATATATACATGTTTTTGTTTGGGAAAAGTGTACATGTTTTTATATATCATCGTCTAGATAGAAATATTGGTTCACCACAAGGAAGTCCGAGGGACCATAAATAACTAAGCAGTCGATATGTTAACGCTACTTGAAAAATTAAGGGAATTTGCACTCCATAACTAAACAAAAAAAAACATAATTCATTATCTAAGCAAAATCACACCCTCTTTCTTTTTTTCTCTTCTTATTTCGCTCTAACTTCTCTCCACAAAACTAATTTCTTTTTTTTTTAGTTATTTCACAAATAAACCTAATTAATCATTATATGAATAAAGTTTCTTTCTTAATAAATTTGTGACCCAGTTATCCAATTTGACTCTTCTCACACGATATCGGACAAGTGTCCACCTAACTTACAAGAATCCAGGTTCTGGTGCCGTCAATTTCTTCTTGTGATACTTTATCATATATGAATAAGCAGTGTTACAAAAAAAAAAGAATAGCTAAGCCTAAACCATATCTTTGATTGAAGAATCAGTCATTCTGCGTATCAGAATATGTTTGTATTTCTAATAAAACGCGTATCCGATATTGTCCTATTAGTCACCAAATCTCTAATATCTATTGCTTTCTTACCTGTAGCTAAATTTTTTAAAGGAAGTATTGGCACTATTAATATCGTGACAAAACAATAAAAGAAAAGAAAGAAGCTCTCAATTGGATTCCTCTCTAAAAGTCTAAACTATGTAGTGTTTAACTTATTAGTACAGGTATAACAAGTTGATCATACACAAATGCACAATATTGAAAAGAAAATGTAATAGACATAATTCTCGATATCATAATAGTAAATCAACATATCCTAATCGTTGTCCAGCTTCGACAAATCAGTGTCTTATACAATCCACAACTGAGATTCGAAGACTCTTCTATTAAAAATTAGTACAGCCAAGGGATATGGTCAGATCTAATACTATTGATATTCTGCTTATCTCAATAGACCTAACAAAAATAGCTGGCACATTTACTTTACAATTTGTTCAGATAAAATAACAGACAATATTTGATATTCAAACGAAGCAATTTCTAAATCAGTTGTTTGAAGATTTAAAAGAAAAAGAGAAAAAAAAAAAAAAAGAGAAAAAAAAATGCAAGAAAAATCTTACGTCAGAAATATAAAGTACATAGCCCGCCCATCTGTTATGTTGTAAACGGATATTAGGATATAGGCCACTAAAACTTGGATTAGAAAACCCATTACTTGAAGTTAGGCACGGTCCTCTAGAGTTTGAGCCCAACCCGGGTGCGATCCGGTTCATGTTACACTCATCACCCAAACTGCCTGAATCTTGAATGCGGGGCAGATCTGAGCCCTAGGAGAAACGGTCGACGGTCTCTAATCCTAGTCGGAGTTTTCCCATCAGCATTCTCGCCGGTGATTCCTACGAATAGCATATTAGTTTTCTTTGCCATGTGAAGCATGTTGGTACGTGATTCTATATATTACCTTTGCTTTTAGATTAAGAGGGGTGTCATGTCAAAATTAGGACAGCTTTTCTCAATTCCTCCTTTAATCTTTTTATATCTTTATTTCTAAAATGGTTAGGTCGTCCAGTGAAAAGAATTATGTCATAAACTATTCTATTTGTTCTTCCTAGTGGTATGTACTTTAATTTGATAGAAATAATTTTGTATAGGGTTTTCTTAATACAAACTTTCTTGTGTTGTCATGTAATTCCGGAAAAGGAGTTGATTAGAATGGAACCACTAGGAAATGTCATGCACAAACACACAAACTTATCTTATAATCTTTTCGAGATATGGAACCAGTTTCAGCTTAACTTAGGACAAGCAAAAACTTTGCAAGTTGTTGTAGTTTTACCAGAGATTTCAAGTTCTTGCCATGTTATATTGTGTGGAGTTTTTAACTTTCTACATAACACTCTGTTGTTCAAAATATGGCATCTATACTAACAAAATATTTAGCAAGTTGATTGGAAAGAAGGATCGATTTTATCATTTTTTAAATTATTTTGTATATGATACTGAAATCATATCTGCGATCTGACACTTTAAAAGCATCCGCATTTGACTGTCCAGATCATACACTTTTCTTTAAAGGCTTGGTGTGTGCAAGTGTTTTCCCTTTTGTGATAGAGGATGAATGCTTTTGATGGGGGAAACAAAGTTGACCGGTTTGGAGTAAAGGAGAAAAGGGTTTGCGATTGGGTGTGCCCGAAGTAACCATCTTGATTCCTTTCCTTTTGTTGTTCAAACGCTTTTGCCTCTCTTTGTAGGGCGCCTTTTGGTCGAAGCTTCTAAACAACTCTTGGTTTTTACCCTTTACACTCTAAACTGTCGTCTTTGGTCCTACATGTCCTCTGTAACGTTACTGAAGCATGAATTTGAGCACATTTTCAATATAACATAACAATATGAACCTTTGTTCACATTAGAAAGGGAGAAAATTTAGGCTAAGTTTCTTTTAATCTTAATATTTCTTAAAAATGAAGTTACTTCTTACACTTTTTTTTATTAATCAATAAAAAGCTTTGCATAAACCTAATGCTAGAACGCTCTAGTGAAATAAGAAAATATAAATATCTAATTAATAAAAGAAAAAATAACGTAATCGTAAACCTAATGAGAAAAAGAGGAAAACATTCCAATGTAAAAAAAGAAAAGAAAATATGAATATACCTAATTCATAAAAAAAAACAAATCTAATTAACTGAATTACCCTAACCATGGTCGTGTATCACAAAACTCGATGTTATTTCGCCTTAGCTTGTAGAATTCACATCTTTGATTTTCCTCAATAATGCTTGTTGGATCACATATATATATACATCTTCCTTTGTTCTTTTTCTTCTTCTTTTTATTTTAATTTTGAGTAATGACCCTTTAGAGTGGTAATAGGAGCCAGAGGCAAGTTGCGTAGAGATTTTGTTGATTGATGAGTGGCCTTTGCAGATGAAGGATTTAAAAAAAAACAAGTAAAAGCTGAAAATATGATTGGGAAATGAAGAAAGATCTCTTCTACATTCCTTTTACTAATCAGAAATTAATAATTACATTTACCATTTAATTAACCTTTTAGGACTATATATATACGATTCTCTTATCATATTGTATAAAATGTTGTTGAAGATTCCTTGGTAAGGTAAATGGTGGTGCTCTTCTTTTCTCTTCTTTCTATGCAGTGGCATGCTTCATGAAAGAGAGAGACCTATTCATCAAAGTAGAAATGTAATAGGATAAGCTCATCATGCCGGTTTCTGTAACGTAATTTCATAGATCCATCTTGGATTTTATGCAACATTTCACTGAATAGCAAACAGATTTTGTACCCTTTGCCAGATTTGAGATTCATATGTTCATTATCTAGCTTTTGAGTGTAAATAATGTATCATCAAGTTAAGATTAGTATATCCTTGCCTTGAGGGATATTGGTTGATGCATACATTTTTGTTTTTTCTAATTAATAATCCCATAATTAAACGCCTTTGTTTCTTATTCGTCTTCTTTGTTTCTCTCGTTTTTTAGTGAAAGATATACTGAAAAAGCTACGCTCTTTTCTGAAAGTAATGAAAGGGAAAGATAATGATATTTAATACATATATTTTATGATTATATTTCTATGATGGGTCCGCTGCTAAATTTAAAGAAGATGCAAAGACCAAAATAGTGATTCTATAAGGGAGACACATTTGTGTTACAGACCCGAAGGGTTAAAAACAGCTTCATCAGTTATGATTCTTGAATCTTGATTATACTGTGGAACACAGTTCATGTTAATGCTGTTTTAGAAACTGTTTGTGCAGCTATTTTGGTCGCTTACATGCTTGTGATGGGGTTAGATTTTGTTTGATTGGGTCAAGACCAGGTGTGACTGTTGTCTTAAAAATGTATTAGGACATGGCTATTTGTTGGTCTAAGGGTGATTATATAATGTCCCTTATATAATTGGAGATGTTATCTATGAATATATATATATGTAAATGATTTGCATCTTTAAGTAGGTCTTTCAAAAAAAGAAAACAAATGGTAAACTTTGCATAAAAGAGAGGTACCCACTTATCAAGCAGTCCCCATGATACATTTTTTAAATGTATATGTGAAAGTTAAGATAGAAAAACACTATTAGGGGGGAAAGCTGAATTGCCTTTGGCTTTTGTTACTGATTTGTCACCACATGCATTCCACTTTGCACTACAAAAATCCACTTTGGACCCTCAAATCCTTGCCTCTATTACAAGAAAAGCAAACACATTCTTCATCCTCCTCCCCACATAATTTCAACTCTCACTTCTCATAGACTTACACAAACATCTTTAGGTAAGCTCCTTTGCTTTTTTTTTTTGTTATCCAAGTAAAGAAAGTAATCAAGACAAGACTCTGTATATTAAGTATGAGGAGTGGAGGTTGTAGTGTCCAGCAATCCCTCACGCATGAAGCTGCAAACATGGTGAAACAAGCCATGGCCTTGGCTAAACGGCGTGGTCATGCTCAGGTCACGCCTCTCCATGTGGCTAGCACCATGCTCTCTGCTTCCACAGGTTTACTCAGAACAGCTTGCCTCCAATCCAACACTCATCCTCTTCAATGCAGAGCACTTGAGCTCTGTTTCAACGTCTCCCTCAACCGCCTCCCAACATCCACAGGGAGTCCTATGTTGGTCCCTTGTATATCTAACGCTCTGGTTGCAGCTTTCAAGCGTGCACAGGCTCACTTGCGTCGTGGCTCCCTTGAGAGCCAGCAACAACCAATCTTGGCCGTCAAGATTGAGCCTGAGCAGCTTATAATTTCAATTCTTGATGATCCTGGTGTGAGTAGAGTGATGAGAGAGGCTGGTTTCTCAAGTCCCCATGTGAAGAGCAAGGTGGAACAATCTGTGTCTTTGATGATCTCCTCCAAGAAATTTAAAGCAAGGTTTGGTCATGAAACTTGAACAGACACTAACAAACACACACTCTAATTCAATATCTTAATCACTGTACTTTGTTTTAAATAGTGAGATCGAAAATGGGACCATACTAGAGAGTAAGACAAGCAGTAAAGCGATCACAGCTCTCCCAGGGTGGCTTCAGAAGTACAAGAACGAGAACCAACATGTCGGAACTGTGAGTTTTAATCTAACTTTTCTTATTTAAGATCCAGTTCTTGATGATGTCCTAAGATTTGGTGTTGTTTTGGGATTTTCAGGATGTAGATAACTCAATCTGTGATTCAGTATACAAAAGATCTTCTCTGTCTCCTTCTTCTTCTTCCAATACATATGCTCATACAAGAGAGATGGAGTATGTCTCCAGGTTTAATGAGATGAATGCTGAAAACTTAAGAACTCTATGTGATGCCTTGAGAAGCAAGGCACAAAGGCAGAAGGATGTGATCCCTAATATCGCAAAAACTATCTTAAGTTGTAGGTCAGGGTCAACACCTAAGAAGCTAAGAAACGGGAACAGAAAAGAAGAAACATGGTTACTCTTCCAAGGTTTGGATTTTGAGGCCAAAGAGAAGATAGGTAGAGAGTTGGCAGAACTTGTGTTTGGGTCTCAAAACAGTTTCCTCTCAATTAGCTTGAGAGACAAGAAAAGAAAGAGAGATGAAGATAGCTTGAGCTACACTCATAGATTGTTTGAAGCAGTGTCTTGCGATCCACATAGAGTGTTCTTCGTGGAAGATATAGAGGAAGCTGACTATTACTGTCAGATGGGGTTCAAGAGAGCCATTGAGAGAGGAAGAGTCCAAAGTGAAAATGGTGAAGAAGCTTTGCTTAGAGACGCGATCGTGATCTTGTGCTGTGAAAGAGTTATGTCAAGATCAAGAAGGTCTTCACCTCCAGAAGACGAGAGAAAGATGAGGAGTTCTTGTATATCTCTCGATCTAAACCTCTCTCTTCACCATGATAGTGATGATGGACAATATTGCAGTGATCATATTGATTTACGTGACGCTGTAGATGCAGACATTCTTTTCAGCAAGTCGGCAACATGATCTTGTTACACATGGTCAGGGTCATGTGTGTTATATACTTCTATTTGGGACAATTTTCTGGCTCAATCTTGTAATTAGGACGCTTAGGAACTTTGTAGAGGGGTATGTTAACAAATTTAATCCAAATCATAACTTAAAATCTCATTATATATCCAACTTATTAGTCTAAATCTTTAAATTGATGGTAATGAGTTCTAAAATTAGTAAAATTAGTACTTAACATTTGCTTCAATAAAGAAGGAACATGTACCTGTATCAATATACTTTAGCAAATGGTATGATACATAACCCTGTTTTAACTCATTTATCCACTTCTTATTAGAAATTCATATATTATCCAACTGATATATATAGTAAAGTCATGGAATATCTACTTTATACTGCCACCGGCGGAGAAATGGTGGATAAGTATGCGGTATATATTCAATATCTGGCTTTTATAATTGCCCAAAGTATAGTATAAAAATGATCCATGACGTAAGAGATGCACAAAGGGGAAGTTAATGTTTTTTCTAAGGAACAAATAAAAATGAAGTAGATTAGACCAAAGAAAATCAAAGGATCATTACTTTTTCACATTTTTCGAATAATATTCGAGTAGCATAAACAAATAGCAAGCTAGGCAAGAAAAGAGGAAATTGTTTACTTCCTTTGGTTCCTCACTTTAGAAAAGGTATGGGATTAGGCTAAGATATCATTATTTTAAGAAAAAATAATTTAAAGCAAAAGGTTAGCCCATGAAAAGAAGGGTTAAGTAGGAAACAAGAGGCATCTTATATATGCTTTAGAATATATAAAACATAAATTAAGTGTACTAAAACATTATGGCCAAAGAAGAGAGCTTTGTCGTATATGGAATAATCTTGTAACATATATACTAAGGTCGTCGTGACAATTTAGAGAAAACGTGTATTTATAATATTCATCAAGATTAAACCACTTTATACGAACATAAAAGCATACAATTCGCAAACATGTAGTGGCAGGCTCATAGATTCCTCTGAAAGCCAAGACAGCTTGACTGATGTTTAATAATTCAACGACGGTTTGTTAGTTTTGTCAAACCCATTTTTTTTTTTTGTCACGCTGTCAAACCCATTATTGTAGGTTGTTTCGGACATTCTTATGAAGATCCATTCTAAAAGGGTCTAAAAGAAAACAATCTAATGTTGGACTTTTAAAGGTTATAAAGGTTATATTAGGTCAGGGTTGCGCGCGGTGGACCATGGAGTCGACGCGTTTATTTGAATTTTGACAGAAAAAAACATTATGCAATTTTGCTCAAGCTTCCGAAAGATAAGCACAAACCATAGAACTAGAACCTTCCGGATAGTTTTACTGGTGGCTCAATAACGTTTTAATGCAAAAAGGGCTAATATTTGCTCATGGACCACCCGCCCATTAGATCTTCGTTACTGACAAACGACTGATCTTCGTTTTTGATAATTTATCAATAATTTTAAAAAAAAATCGTAGTCTACTAATGGTAGATTAGCTAAAACAATACCGTTATTATATTATACTTTTTTTCTCTCAAAATGTACATAGGTGTCACGTAATCTCGAGTTTGAAATGTGGAGATTCTTAAATGCTGTATACTGGGGGCTATAGACATGTAGTAACCGACGCTATATTTGAAAAAAGTATATTAATTAACTACAGAAATAAAGTTTTATTTATATATAACAATGAACAAGGAAAGATGAAGCTGACAAAAAAAAAAGGGAAGATGAAAATATGTATACAAAAAGGCTCTGTAGAGGATAAGTCAATGTGCATACAAAAAATAATAATAAGAAACAAACAAATATATATGGTATGGAACAGAACATGATGAAAGCATAGACTTAAAAATCAAAGTCGCACTTGAGAGGGAGAACGGTAGCTGAGGTTGTAGTTCCGTTGAATGTACTTAAAGGTAGCCTTAGATCATCGCAATTAACCTTAGGCTTAACCCTCCGAGACTTCAAGTCCCCAAGCTTAAACCTAACCCTAAGCCTAAATTTGATCTCAATATCGTAAACTCCCGCGATACTCTCCTCGTTGTAGGTCCGTAACTCTCCCGCGTTAAAGATAACAACGTTTTGTCCTTGGAACACTGGTCTGAGAACGGTCGTGTTCTTGTGTCCTTGATAGAAAGGTGTTAACGTGGTGGAACTAAACCGCTTTCCATCGTAGTAGGCATGAGCTTCGATCCTATCGTAGTACACTCCGATCCTCTTGTTAGGGTTACGGACAGGAACTGTGAGGGCTAGGTTATACCTTAAAATGTTGTCCGGGGAAGTGTGTTCAAAGCGCGTAAGGGAAGCTTCGGTGACGTGAAACTTGATGGCGCGAGGACGGACGATGAGCCAGAAGATAAGAGCGGCTATGCCAAGGATGATAATAATGGCTATGATGACTTTGACAAAGAAGCTGAGGAGGCAGCAGCCACAACCGCGGCTGTGACCGGGTCGGCGGAAGTAGCCTTTGGGAGCTGGTGGTGGGACTGATGGACCGTAGAAGGCACCGTTGAGAGGTTGTTCTGCCATGTTTCAGTTTGTTGAGGTTTAGAATGAATGTACATACGGGTAATGCAAGTCCTCTATATATATACTCGTTTTCATTTTTATGCGTTGGTCAACTTAGATTAATTAGAAGGTATTGTCACGTTACGCGGTGTTGATTGAATATTTTGAACAAAGAATATTATGCAATTGTAGGCTTGTGTTGTTGCCCAATACCTTCCAATAAAGAGTATTTTGTGTAAGATATATATGCACACAGAAAAAGATAAGTTATGACTTTTTGGTCTCTCGTCTTACTGATTTATACATCATTGATATATAAGTGTTCTAGAACTTAGGGACGCTTGTGACGAATTGTATTAATTAGATTGCTGCATTTGCTTACAATATTATAAGATAGAATCGTGAAATTAAACTACTTGAAATTGTGATAGATAGTGAAAACTATCTTTTGGATTCTAATAATTTAGAAAATATTCAAAATAACACAATTTGTAATATATTAACGTGATGTTATCGGTAAAGTATATATTATACTTAACAGTTATTTTCACTCGGATATACGTACTTTTGCAGAGTTCTTTTGTAATGGAGTTTTAGTTTTGATATAAAAAATGTAGAGCAAAAGTATTTTAGTATTGTATAA